GGATGGATGGACAGAGGGATACATGGATAGATGAACGCATACACGTATAGATAGACGGATGTATGCACAGATGGCTATACAGCTATGTTGCTCTCTACCTACATGCATGTGTGGATCAATAGACGCATGGATAGGTGGACAGATGGATAGAAGGATGGACGCGTGGAGAGACGGAGCGATTAAAAGAAAGATGATGCCCGGACGGATTTACGGATAGATGTATATAGAGCTGTATACATAGGTGGAAAATGTTAGGATGAACGGATGCGTCGATGGATAGACAGAGACGGATGGATGGATAGACGGGTACACGCATGGATCAAAACTCGCACAGACGGATGGATGGATGGACAGATGCATGCATGGATATATGAATACATAAATGTATGGCTGGAGGGAGAGGTGGATGCATTGGTAAATGATGCAGGAATGCATGATAGGTGACAGATCAATCGCTACATAGATGCACACATAAATACACAGATAAATGGACAGGTAGGTTGCAGACAAATGGGTGCACAGACGGACAGGGTTACATGCATAGATGGTAGATAGATACGTAATAGATGATAGATGGATTCATAGCTGTAGGAGAGATGATTGATAGATAGACGATACGTGATCCATTGATCACGATAGACAATAGATGACGGATGATAGATGAGTAGACGGGCAGATGGATGCACGATCGATGATAGACGTATGGCTGGGTCATGTGGGAGATCTACTTCTAACTTTTTTTTTGTCTTTTTGAGACAGGCTCTCCCTGTAGCCCCAGCTGCCCTGGAACTCAGCATGTAGACCAGGCCGGCCTCGAACTCACAGAGATCCCCCTGCCTCCGCCTCCCGAGTGCTGTGCATGGAACTTTCTGAAAGTTGGCAGTTGGGGCCGGCGGGATGGCTTAGCGAGTTAAAGGTGATTGCAGCCAAGTCAGACAAATTGAGTTCGGTCCCTGGGACCCACGTGGTTCAAGAAGGGAACAGGCTCTGGACTTTTACAGAAACCGTGGTGTCCTTGCCCCAGGGCCATCCTGGAAGCGTCCAAGCCATTCCTCAAATAGCGTCTGTGTCTATGAGGCCGACGTCAGGGCTGTGCTTGCAGTGTGGACGGAGCAGGAGTCGGTCTCCCCGGGTCTGTGCCAGGAGGATGTGTTTTGTGGGAACACTGTCCCTTCACCCGGACGAGAAGCAAATGCTTTAAAAGGTTTTCTCATTGCAAACACACAAACAAAAGCGAGTAGCAGGGAACTGGGCCCCAGGACTGTCACCCAATTCTTGCTCCGGGCAGATTCAGGACACTGGGCCGCCGGACCGGTTCCGTCAGGTTCCTGGAACCTGTGCCCTGGCACTTGGCCTTGGATTGTTAAAGAACAGACTAGGCGGACAGTGTTATGGGGCTGGAAGCTTCCTGAGAACACATTCCAGGTTTAAAAACTCAGGGCACCCTAGACTTGGCTAAGCGGTGGGGATGCCTGAACTGCTCTAGCAAAACACCCCGACTCAGTTCCCAGCACCCATGTTCAGGATTTACATACATGAACATTGTTTCCTTACTACAGTCAATCAGTCAGTCAGTCAGTCAGTCAGTCAGTCAGTCAGTCAATCATGTATTTATCTTTTTCTTTTTAATTTCTTATACCA